CAGGGCAGCGCCTGTAGCTCAAAGGAGTAAGGCACAGGCCCCATATGCCAGAGGTGGCAGGTCCAAACCCAGCCCTGGCCAAAAACTGCAAAAAAAAAAAAAAAAAAAGCAAACTCAATTGTCATAAACCCTCTCCCTAGGAACAAGCAGGGAAAATTAATATCCCTGGAATGAAAAGTCTCCATATTATACTTAAATAGACACCTGTTACAAAACCACAACATCTATCAGATCTCCCATGTATTCTTCTTTTTTTTTTTTTTTGTACGAAAGGTCTTTATTGGTGGGGGAGGGAGACTGCAGAGCAGCACCAAGGAGGAGAGAAAAAGAGAAGAGAAGAGAGGAGAGAGAAGGGAGAGAGATGAGAGAGTGGAGAAGAGAGAGGGAGAGCAGAGAAGAGTGAGGGGGGAGGCGGGGAGAGCCCATGTATTCTCCTAAGAGCCCGTTTATCTTCCTGAAGTCGCTGCTTCCCAGAGGGCCTCCTCCCTCCCTCCCCGGCTGAGATGGCACACGTGTGGCGCCCCACGTCCGAGCCACTCCTTGAGTCACAATTCTTCCTGATCTAAGGGTGTGATTAAAACCTGTCTTCTCTCTTACTAACCTGTCAGTTGTCGGTTTAATTTGCAGCCCTCTAACGACTGAACATGAAGGAGTAAAGTTTTTCCTCCCAATAGTATATACCCAAGGAAAATAAAAGTGTGTGTGTCGCCACCAAAACTTGTTCCTGAATGTTCATAGCAATCTTATTCACGACAGCCAGAAAGTGGAAAAACTCAAATGCCTGTCAATTACTGAACAGGTAAACACAGTTTGGCATATGTGGACAATGGAATATTATTCACCAGGAGAGGGAATATCGTGGATGGACCTTGAAAACACAGTAAGAGAAAGAAACCAGCCACAACACCACAGCCTGTGGGATTCCGTGAAATGTCCAGAACAGGCAAATTATGGAGACACAAAGTAGGTTAGGGCTGGAGGCTGGGAGGGAGGGATGTGGGGCGACTGCTGATAGGCACAGGATTTCCTTCTGGAGTAATGAAATTGTTCTAAAATCTGTTCGATGATGGCTGTAAAGCCGTGAGCACAAAGCTGTGTGGCACACTTCAGACAGGGGATTGTACGGTGTAAATTTTATCTGCCTAGAGCTATTCTTAAAAAAGGCAAACTGGGCTAGGGCAGGAGCTGGTACCTGTAATCCCAGCACTCTGGGAGGCCAAGGCAGGAGGAGCCCTTGAGCCGGGAGATGGAGAAGGCAGTGAGCTGTGATGATGCCCTGCACTCCAGCCCCGCAGCCCAGGGAGGCGCATGCAGAGGCCACCTGTTGTCCCGGCTCAGCTCAGCTTTTGCATCATCATAGCCTAGGCACCAAATACCTGAGTTTAGAAGCTGTCAGAGGACTCTGGCCCTCAGGCCTTTGAGTCACCCCCTGCCATTCAAGACTTCCCAGCTAAGCTCCCCGGCACCCGCCCCAACACCTGACCCCAGAACCCCTAAGCCCTATAAATGGTGTCGCAGCTCTAGGCCTCCCAGCTCAATCTCTCCTCCCCAGTGTGCTGGTGCCTCCCCCGCCTCCCTGAATGTCAGGGTGTCCCCAGTGTCTGTCTGTGGCCCTTCTAGTCCTCTCTCTTGGTGACCTTTGCAGTCTTTCTGCTTTAAACACCATCCCGAAGACCCCAAAGTTTGCACCTTCAGCCTACACCCCGCCCTGAACTCCAGGTTAATGCGTTCACCTGCTATGTGACCTCTACCAGGATTTCTAACTCGCATCTACACTAACAAAACCAAAATTGCTCTTTTCCTCCAAACATACTCTTTTCCCAGTCATCTCCATCCTGATAAATTGCAACTCCAGCCTTGATGCCATGAAGGCCTCTTTGCCCACTCACAGGGCTCACTTCCTGGCTTCCTTCAGATCTCTGGAGAGACCTTCAGACACCCTAGATTTGAACTAGTCACCTGCCCTCCATCTTTCACATTTCCTGCCCATTATCCTGGCTTTGATTCCCCGACAGCACTTAGCTCCAGTAAGAGAGGCAGCATTTCCTCTCTGCCTGCTGGATGTGGGCTCGCGGAGGTGAGAGTTCTTGCCTGTTTTGTTCACTGCTGTGTCCACAATAGCCAAGTGATGTATATCTTTGACACTCAGTAAGTACTTGTTTAGTTATGGAATGAATAACCAAATGAGATCAAGGAGCAGAGATGAGATTAAGAACACACATGGGGGCTTGGCGCCTGTGGCTCAAGTGGCTAAGGTGCCAGCCACATACACCTAAGGTGGTGGGTTCGAATCCAGCCTGAGCCTGCCAAACAACAATGATGACTGCAACCAAAAAACAGCTGGGCGTTGTGGCAGACGCTTGTGGTCCCAGCTACTTGGGAGGCGGAGGCAGGGGACTCGCTTGAGCCCAGGAGCTGGAGCCCAGCTGTGAGCTGTGATGCCACAGCACTCTACCTAGGGGGACAGCTTGAGGCTCTGCCTCAAAAAAAAAAAAAAAAAAAGAACACACATGGGGAGCCCCCTCAAGGGGAGATAATATACTTCTCTTGGGGAAGGGAGAAAATGTTTACTGCCTTGACCATCTAAGCAGAGTAGCACCAACAAAGCCCACCTGCCTTGACCATCTAAGCAGAGTAGCACCA